CGAAAATTAAAAAAATCGGACAATAACCACGCCCACATCCCATATAACGGTAATTTAGAGAAATACAAATTCTTCGATTTAGTAACTATATGGGATGTGGGCGTGGTTATTTTCCGTTTTTTTTCAATTTTAGTGCTATTGATATTTGGGAAAGTTTCATGAAACTCTTAGAAGAAAACACGCATCCTTTTAGCAATTATTTATCAAAGAAAAACGAAGATTATGGAAAACAATTTGGGAAGTATGCTAAAATATTCATATCTGAAAATGTTGCGTTTCTTTCTGATGAAGTTCTTTTCGAAATCAAAAAGCCAACTGTGTCGAACAGCAGCCGGATTCTAACTTTCGCTATCGCTAAAATGAAAATACGATTTTTTAGCTATCTCCAAAACTTGCGGTTCTGTCCTTTCATTCGCTTGGTATGCTGTACCAAAGCCAACAACTGTGACAAGTTTGGAAGAAATCCGTGCAGCGGATACCAAGATATACACATGTAACTATAAGTGGGCGTGGCTACGCCCATTTTCCAAAAATTTTTAATATTCTTATTTTTCGTCTAAAAGTTATTCTAAATGTCAATTTTGAGTGAATTATCTTCAGTAGTTACTAAAATATCGCAGCTTTCGTATTTCTGGAAATTACCGTTATATGGGAAGTGGGCGTGGTTATTGTTCGATTTCGCCCATTTTCAATACCAACCTACCTTGGATAAATGGAAGCCTACATACCAAATTTCGTTGAGATATCTAAATTTTTGCTCGAGTTTTCGTGTACACGGACGGACGGACAGACAGACATGGCTTAATCGACTTCTCTATTCATTCTGAGCATTTATGTATACATTTGTCTATATCTATCGATCTCGATTCGTTTTGGCTGTTACAAACAACCGTTATGTGAACAAAATTAATATACCCTTTTGCACAAGTGCGCTTGGGTATAAAAATAATTATGTTGTCTGTGAAGCAATTAATAAATAGTGGAAAAATGTGTTTCTTTATTTTATGTTATTAAAAGTACGATTCCTGTGTACAAACGAATTTTTTGCTCGCCTTTCAAGCGCCTATTTAAATAAATTATACGGATATGCAGCCTGCAATTAAAAAAATAGCTTTTTCATATTTATTAGAAGGTCTATTTTATGGCTGTGTGATAATAATTTTTCGGAGAAGTTGGTGGTACCAAAAATTACTTCGCCATTATATATTTGAAATATCCAACTTATTCGTTTTTCTGCAATTTACAAGGCTTCGCTTAGGCATTATTAATTTTTTAATCACAAATAAATATTATAGTATTTTTCCACTAAAATTCAAACGGAAAATTTTTTAGAAAAAAAAACAATGTTGCAAGCAAATAATAATCGCCCCAAAAT